TCTGGGCTGGACACCTTGTCTCTGCTTGTCTCCCCTTCTCTGTGGGAGACCACTGCCGCGCTCCTCCGCTGGTCTCCCTTTGATTCGTCTCTGTGAGTGGCCATTGCTGGGTTTCTGGGTGCCCTGTCTCCGCTTGTCTCCCCTCTGTGTGGGTGGTCCTTGCCGCTTGTCTACCCTTGTGGCCATTGCCGTGTTCCTGGGCTCCTTGTCTCCGCTTGTCTCGCCTTGTCTCCTGGGCTTTTGTTTCTGCTTGTCTGCCCAAGTCTCCCTTCATGATTCGTCTCCGTGGGTGGCCATTGCCGGGTTCCATTGCCGGGTTCCGGGGCTCCTTGTCTCCGCTTGTCTCCCTTCATGATTCGTCTCTGTGGGTGGCCATTGCCGGGTTCCTGGGTTCCTTGTTTTCGCTTGTCTCCCCAAGTCTCCCTTCATGATTCGTCTCTGTGGGTGGCCATTGCCGGGTTCCTGGGCTCCTTGTCTCCGCGCGTCTCCCCTTGTCTCCCTTCATGATTCGTCATGATTCGTCTCTGTACATAGCCGTTGCGGGTTCCTGCACTCCTTGTCTCCCCTCATGATGCGTCTCTGTGGGTGGCGATTGCCGGGTTTTTGGGCTCCTTGTCTCCGCTTGTCTCCCCGTCTCCCTTCATGATTCGTCTCTGTGGGTTGCGATTGTGGGGTTGCTGGGCTCCTTGTCTCTGCTTGTCTCTCCTTGTTTCCCTTCATGATTTGTCTCTGTGGTGGCCATTGCCGGGTTCCTGGACTCCTTGTCTCCCCTTGTCTCCCTTGATGATTCGTCTCTGTGGGTGGCCATTGTTGGGTCCGGGGCTCCTTGTCTCCCCTTGTCTCCCTTCATGATTCGTCTAGGTGGGCGGCCATTGCTGGGTTGCTGGGTTCCTTGTCTCCGCTTGTCTCCCCTTGTCTCTCTTCATGATTCGTCTCTGGGGGTGGCCACTACCGGGTTACTGGGCTCCTTGTCTCCCATTGTTCCCCACACAGTAACACTGTTGGGGTTGTCAATTGTTTCAAAGCAATGCCGGGTTGCCATTGCCGAGTTCCTGGGCTCCGTTTCTCGTGCTTCCTGGGCACCTTGTCTCCCTCAAATTGTGTCCCGTCATGTTTTGCCAAAGTCTTAGCTGGGCTCCTTGCCTCCCTTTGTCTCTGTTCATGCGGCTTCCTTTTGCTGGGTTCCTGGGCACCTTGTCTCCGCTTGTGTCTCCTTTCATGCCGGTTGCTTTTGCCCAGTTCCTATTCTCCGCTTGTCTCCCTTCATGTGGGTTCCTTTTGCCGGTTTCCTGGGCACCTTGTCTCCGCTTGTCTCCCTTCCTTCAACCGCAATCGCTCCTTTTGTGCCTGCTGCTTCAACCGCAATTTCTTGCGCACTCAGAGCTGCAACAAGTCTTGCCATGAACGCAATGCTCATAGTTGGTTGAAACTTCACTCACTTTGCCGTTGCTTGAGGTTCTACAGCTCCTTCGCCCGAGAAGCCTACAACAGCTCAACCTCGTCATATAGTTCCGAATCTTATTGCGAGAGACTGTTTTCGTGCCTAGATCCAAAGCGCTGCGCGGCTTTGATTGCTTTGATCTCTAGGTCCTTCAAACGCTGTGTCCATGACAGATACACATCCGGATGATCACGACGGGCTTTACCCACGCCTTTCCGAGGTATCGCTGTCTTGAACTGCTACTATTGGAATACAACACCGAACCAGGACATATACCAAACCATCCTTCCATCAGATATTGCAAAAGTACATGTTCTGACAAGGTTGGCGCTGAGGCGGTTGTCTTGGCCGCGCAACTGCTCAGAGCCTTACATTTTTGTCTTTGTCTGGAAATAGATCATGCTTCCGCTCAAAAAGATCACGTCGCAATTTACGTTTACGCTTTGACGACATTGTTGATCAGTTGCCCGAGGATTTCCATGTCGCCTCATTCGGCTTTGAAAGCTTTGTCGACAACCTCTTCAACGTGAACATGAGGTCCGGCCTCTCCAGGGCCAGGTACAGCAAAATGCCCATATCCATTCTGAAGATGGCGGTCTTGTGGAGTTAGCAGTTAGCTCTTCCACAACTCCACGCTGGCGTTGAAACCTCCAGCCGCCGGACATGACGTGGCTGCTTGATCAGATAGATTTCCTCTATCTGCAACACTTCCACCAAGCTCGCAACACATTTCATGTTCGTGGAAATCTGTACTCCAGCGTCCGTGACTGAGAACGTGTTGGTCAAGAAGCCAACCGATCTTTCGCCTTGTACCAGCGGTCCTCTGACCTTAGTTTTCAGATCTTCGCCTTTCATCTTCTCCGCCAACTCCTGAAGACCTTCTTCTGTCATGAACTTCAAGGCATCTGCGTGCGACAAGATGTTGATGCCTGGCTTCCCTTTCTGTCGGCAAACTTTTTTGGGACTTCAGTCCTACTATCTTTGCAATTTGTTGAACCATGCAGTCGTCCCTCTGCCTTGACCTGGCAAAGTGTAACCCAACTCGTGGTATTTCCTGTCGACTTTGAGTACGGTTGGCTTTTCTTGTTCTACCTGTAGAAACGCATCGCCTATGTCGATGCCGCCAAGAAAGCAACCTTCAGCTGCGACGATTAGGCTTGGCAGGGGTTGATTGTACAAGCTAGCAGCGATGGGAGATAGCAGGAAGTGCATCATCTGAACCCCTCGCAACCAATCTTCCATGCCTCTCCCAGCAGCTATTGCAGTGTCGCCAATCATACACCAATCGTGTTGACAAGAATTTGTGCGGCGCGACATAGGTCATGTATCTCGCGTAGCACGCCCATAGCCACTATCGTTATGTTGTTGTTCGTGCCTGCCTGTCAACTTCCAGGGTTGTGCCTTCATCTAACTTTGGAGGTCCATCTTCGAATACCGCCTGACCGCTCTGGCAGACTCACGGCTTCTTTGTTTATTTCTTCTGGTTTGCCATCATGGTATTCATCCGTATCATTTGCTTCCAAGTTCAGTTCTGCTTCAGCTTCTCCAAATCTTCAAGCGTCATCTGCGTCATACTCCGGCTCTTCCTTTCGTAGTTTCTGAACGTTGCTTCGCCTGACTTGCTTCGTGATGCCTGTCTGTTTTTCTCCTTTGAAATCTTTATCTAGTTCCTTGAAGCTCTGGAAGCAGTGCCAACTGTTTCCAGACCCCGATAAGGGCTTGGAGAGCCAGCATCATCTGGAACACATTCTTCTGAAGATGGGGGTATGATTCTCCTTGGATGCGTCTGATTTAGCTCCTTCACCTGCATCTTCGGGTTCTTGGTCGTCGTCATCATTGTCTCCTCCGTCGCCCGTGGCGAGCGCCACAAAGCTTGATGAAACAAAAGAAAACATGACTTGGGCTGACGTTGCTTTTGCACCATGCAACATTTCAACACCTCGGGTTCACGAGATGGAAGTCTTCGTACTTTCTTTCTCGGGGCAATGCTGCATTGTTTGAAATTCCACGGTGTACGGCTGGGCTCTATGCTATCCCCTCTAGATCGTATTCTGGAGCACATCATCTGACTGTGCGTTGACACCAAGGTCATGTTCCAGACCGCGCCCTTTCCAACGAGAATTCGTTTGCGTCAAGGTTTTCCTTTTTACTTGGTCTTCGGCAACTGTCGTGCCAGCATGCAACTGCCCCAGGGTGGCGATGCTGTTTTGTAGTCTCTGTCAAGCATGTCAAACATAACCTCCACAAGTGCCTTTCATTTGTGAACAGCAAACCTCTTCAACAACACGGCAGCATGTTTGGATTCAACAGGGTATAGCGTGTTCACGGAAGTGATTTTAACTTTAGCCTGACTCAACTCTGCATACTGGAGTCCTCCCGAGGTTTCTCACCGCTTGAACCCATCTCTCCATTTGCAAACCTTGATGTCCATCCATCCGGCGATGCAGCGTGAACTTCTGACCATTTCATTTCCGGACCGATTTCAGTTTCTTTCTCAACAGCAGCATAGACGGTTCAGTTTCTGTTGTCTTGATGAACGTCTTTGCGAACAACTTCAACACAGCTAACCCGTAACCTCGTTTGATGGTACCCTGGTTGCATGCACGAACTTGCTCTCTTGATCAACCATGACCAACCTTATGTGCGCAACGTGTCCTTAGGGTCATCCGCGTCTTCTTCATCACTAGTGAAGTCCGTGCTCACCAACAATTCGGAAGGCTTTTGGTTGACGTGTCGACGTTCGCTTCTCGCGACCTTTCTCCTCTCGCCTCGTGCCAATCTGCTTTGGGAAATGCGTGCGGTGGTGGCAATAGTATGAAGATACGCTAGTTTCTAGCTTACTGTTTGCGGTCTTCGGCGGTGTAATTTAGTTTACTTGTGTTCCCATGTGTTCCCAGTTAAAAGGTTTTACCTGTCTGCTTCGCTCAATTACGATTGGGGCACCGCACCCCGCCAATCTAACCACTCTGGCACGCGCCCGGCGCCAGCAACCAATCTAACTACTCCCCCGCCCCGCCCAATCTTACTGCTCACCAGCCAATTGAACCACTCCCGCCTCTTTCCAGTCGTGGGCGCCCAATCTAACCACTTACCACCCAATCTACCCACTCGCCCTCCAAACTAACCACTCCCCACCCAGTCTAACACACTGTCAGCCTAAACTTTAACACGCAGCCCAAAAACGCAAGTACCGGAAATGGCTTCATTTGGCAGCTGTTTGGGATGAACATTTTTTGGTGACAGGTTCCTATATTGGCCCATACTTGTGCAGTTCACCCACATGCTAGATATTCTACGTGTGCTGCGTCAGCTAGATGTTACTTGGAATCCGGGCCGAAGACTAACAGCTTCCTCTTGATTCCTGTTGCTTCAGCTTTTCAGAAACAAATTTGCTGTCGTCAAGCGATGTGTCAGTGGAATTGGGGTCACTTCAAACCCTCTCTTTCGTCACATGACATCGGATGTGACAAGCTGAACATGTTAAACGTATTTGTTCTCCCCAGTGGCAGCCCGACATGTCCTTGCAAGATCGTATTATCCGTTCGCGGTCACAGCTCAGGATGGCTCTCCTTTATGTTCTGGCAGGATGGGCTAAACATTCAACTGTGTGCTGATGCTTGAATTCACGCCGCGTATCCTTGGTAGAATGTGATTTGCATTTTTCCTGCGAGGAAAAATGCAATTCACTTTTGTTTTTGACGTCTGCGTTTTCAATGCCTAAATGGACATCTAGGCTTGAATCTTGTCAGCTTGCTGCTGTTGGCATTGGGGACGCTTGGCTTGACTGGACATGCATTTTCAGAATCTGTTCAAGTTACAAGGTTTCTGCTGGCTTCTGTTTGGCGAAGGAAATCAACGGATGCGGAGTACCGTCTTTGTCGCGCGCTGTTTGCAATGATGGCGGGCGGGTTAATGATGACTATGAGAGCATCGAAGCTGCAATCTCCGATCATGCTGCGTGTCTGCGGCAAGGTGAGCAGGATTTCCTCGGTTTCTGGGCTTCAGGTGATTCACGAGCTGTGGACTCCTGCTGGGGGCGCCTACAATGTTGACGGTGTGTTGAGAGTCCCTTCAGTCGATGATTGCATTCTTTTTTGGCTTGTTTCCATGTGCAAACACTCCAGTTGAATCAATGTTTCAATGCTCACCTCACGCTATCTATAGAAGGCTGGGGACTTGACAGGTCATGATCCGCGGACTCGAGGATGAATTGGACCAGCGCTTGAAGGGAAAGACCTTCTCTGACACTCGCCTGCCGCCACCCCCGCCCAGCATCTCGGTGTCCAATTGCTTAACCAATGATCTGTCATCACAGAGACTTGTCACTACACCTGTCCGTTTTTCTGTATGTCTCCCCTTGGCTGCCACACAGAGCACACGACGATGTTGGCATGCCGAGGTTTCCAACGCCCTACGACGGCAGATGCCGCGACGACGGCAGCTCGAAGGTCGTAAAGTCCTTGCAACCTCTTAGAAATGGAAAAGCTGGTGTCCTAGTTTTCTGAGTTCTGATCTAGATTTCATCCACACCCACTTCATCTATCTGGAGTTTGGGTTGGTTGAACAGATTCTATTCATGCACTTTCTCATGATTCCAAAGCTGGCTTTGTCCATCCAGTTTGCTTACATAGCGAGAAGCAGCGGAATCTATGTCCTGATCCTATTCTTCAGCTAGGACCAGCTATAATGAACAAATTCGTCTAAATAGATCCCACAGGCTGGCATGTGTATGTTTATCTGCGTGCATATGCAAGTATATCTTTCGCTCTCTCCTCTACGCCGTGCTGTTTGTGGCAAGCAGCCAGGCAACATGACTCTGAATGAATGGTCTCACTCTTCACCTCCCCAAAAGTGAGTCGTGGTCAGCGTTGCACGTACCCGGCACACTGGATCGATTCCAGGGAAAAGTGCATGCCTTCTTGTGCCTGACTAGGCCACCTCGCATGTCGCTCATTTCACGCATTGGTTCAACGCTGCATCGGCATGACACGCTCCAAAAAGACAGCTGTGCTACCTGATCATGAATGTTTCAAGTGCGCCTTGAGTGCAGCGTTTATGGTTGGCTGTCCGACATCACGGATTTCCTTCACTTCTAGTATCCAAAGCCTGCACTTGATACAGCATCAGGCAGTCCAGAGCGAAACTTTGTTCTGCGACCACGGGACCCCAAGCAGGGTGGACCTGTTGAGAGGTGATAGCTGCGCAGCCGAGCCTTGATTACTCCAGTAGCAAACCGGGCAGTGCACTTGTGGATGCAGTGCACACGGGAGGTGTCATGTCTGTGAGGCAGATGCGTAGGGATTTGAGACTGACCAAAAGTCTTGCAGACAAGAAATTTCACTCATCGTGCTGGTCCCACGCTAGTCCCTTAAGCACCCTCCTTGTCACTTGACAAACACGTCTTTGCTTTCTTGGGCAACAACCATGCCAGACAGATCCAGGCAGCATATGTTCCAGATGTTCCAGCGGCAGCTAGTTCGGGCATGGTTACCTACAGTAATTACAGACCCTTGCTTGGACAGGCAGGTCAGCCAAAGGTACATCCTTGTCAACATCGTGCCCGCTATGTGGCCGTCCTAGCAGCCAGCTTGCCGTAGTGAACATGGCATCGTATTGACCTCCCGTGCAACACGGATCTTGTGAGAAGATGGTCAACACACAGGACCATACAAGATGATAATTTTAGATTTCCGACATACGTAGGATACGACTCTTGCGCTCATGGCTGCGAGTGTTCGCCGAGCAGCTTTTGATATTGGCTCTGGCGCGACCAAACTTATGATTGCGGATGTCAGCAGAGAAGGCATGCAGGTCGGGACCAGCTGTAAATCAATCCAAGTAAGTAAGCGTGCAGCCAGCATCTGACACGGCAGTTTGTCCTCGAGCCCCCAGAGAACGGACCCTCTCAGAAATCCCTGGGTTCCCTCATAGTCATTAATCCCCTGAAATGGGGTCCTTCTCGGGGTGGCTGTCCAGTTTGGGTACCTAGGCATTCACCCTAGTTTGTAGGCACGTGCTGGTGGAGTTGATAGGTTTGAAGCGCAACAATATGGAGTTGGGGAAAGAATGGCCGATAGTCGATAGTCCATCCAACCATCCCTTTCATATCTTCAGGTTTGATTGGAAGCAGCAGGAAGAGAACTCCAAGCTTCCTAACTCCAGCGGGAACGTGCTATTCAAGCCGTACCCCATGCCATGATTCAGAGGCTCAAGAAGCTTTACGGGAACCCCTCCCGCTCTACGGTGTGCGCGTGGAAACAAATCTCTGAATGACAGTGCTGGCCCACCTTCCTGACTTAACTTGAGAGGAGCTTTTTGCAAAAGAAGTTCCGGTACCATTCGCAGTTGACTGGAAGCAGTCGGCCGACGGAAGCCTGAGTGCTGCCATCCAAGAGCAGGCCGGCAATTCGCAGAGCACTCTTATTTTGTGTAGTTATGCCGGCCGACTAAGTTGCGCTAGCCTGGTGGTAAATGGTGCTGGAGGACTATTTTTGGGATATATTTTTGTTAGCCCTGTGATCCTGCCGTCCCCACAGTCCTCAAAAATCCCGCCAACAAGACCAGTGTCGAAGCTCCTTGTAGTGTACAGATGTTGCTGGAAATCGCTGTCCACCGTGCATCGCTGATACAAACGGAGAGCTGCGAGCTATCCCACTTCTCAGGGACTTTCCGTCCTTCGGGGCCTGCTCCAAGAATGCGAAGATCAGCAGGTAGCTTCGAACCAGCGCTGCGCCATAGCAACAGAGGTCTTCCGCAAGGCTCAGCAACTGTGTGTTAGCCGGCTTGCCAGCTCCTGCCTGCTGTGCTTTGCGACAAGGCCAGCAATGGCAGAGCATACCTGGATCGTGTGCTGACCGAATTGTTGCTTCCAGTCAGAGCACCTAAGCCCGTATCAAGAGTTGCTTATTGACTGTCACAAGCAAACAGTGTGGGATTCGGATAGGGTTGTCTAGCACATGAGATCCGAAGGTTTTAACCCAGAGCGAAGAGGCGGAGCTGGGATTCCGAACAGCCGTTGCATTGTCAAAGAACCATTGCACCACATGCTGGGACTCCGGAGGCAGGAGGGCAAGACGATCTGCATTTCCAAGCAGTGCACTTGACCACTGCCTAGGTGCCAGCTTCCAGATCACTTCGCGCAGCCCGGATGGTGTTTTGCAGACTTACCTTGGAAACTTGGGCACCGGGATTGTCACCTCAATGCTGGTACTTGGCATGAAAAAAAACATGTGTGACTCCAGCCGGGTTGTCACTCAAGCTCCTTGACACGCGTGGAAGGTGGAGGGAGTTCAAGGCCACAGTTTTGCAAAGACACCATCGCCCAACCCTGTCACCGCAGAGGACGCGGCGGCGGGCCCAGATATGAAAATCCGCTGACATGCTAAACCAACACTAGCTCTCCCTCGCTGGACAAAAATTTGAGACATGCTTGCATGCACCAAACAAGGACCAGCTGCTGTACGACTTGAAAAAGAGATTGCCAGATGCACCAAGTTGGCTTCGGCATGGGAAGGTCACGGCCATTGGGGGTCCTAATTCCATGTTCTGCGTGGCTTCCGAAGCCATGGGTAAGCTGCAATACACCGCGGCGGCCATCCGGCAAGTCCTCATGAATGTGATTGGAGTGGAAGATGATGAGCTCCTGCTTCGTCCATTTTGCCAAGGTGTTCCGCTAGGTAAAATTTGATTGTTTTTTCATTGCCGGTGTTGTCACAATAATGATCAGACTGTCCATTTATGTTGCATTTCATTGCAGCAAACCTGTGAAAGGAGACTTGCGCGAGCCTCCATCTTTCGTTGTTCCGAAAATTGCCTTGTTGCTCGCAGTGATGGAGCATTGTGAGTTGCAAGAGGTCGATTTTTGCAGCACCATAGGCTCATGCCCGGGCATGCTCATTAGCGATGACTTCTTTGTAGAAGAATGCCTCGCTACCTGACATACATAGCTCCAGTCTGGTCCAAAGTTGGCCATGGTGTCTCTACCGTAGTTCTGTTGTACAAAGTGTTGTTGGCACTGACCAGAGCCTTGCCTGTGCCTTGCCAAGCTGTGTGCATCCAGTAGCTGCTCGGCACAGATGCGCATGCATCCAGACGGCTCGCATGCCGAGAGTTTTTTTAGATCTTTTAGCACGAGAAGGTGCGGTTTGCACATTGGGAAAAACAAGCCATGGCGTTATGTTCACGAAGTCGTATTCTACACAGACAGCATGTATCAGCAACAAATGATAAATTGGATTGGCTTCCAGACAATAAGGGCATTCTAGGAATAGGAGGTGCAAGTTGCTGTATCATGGTCAAACCACTTCTCAGCCTGCTTGCTATCTCTGAGGGGAGTTGCTACACATTGTGCAAGAGCACCTTCTTTTGACTGTGAGCCAGATATCCAGTCGGGTTAACCACTGTACGAGTGTACAACATGGTGCCTCAGTGGACTGTACTTGTTTCCTACCCACTAGTGGCTACGGCTGCAGCTGTCTAAACACTTGGCAACCCTGTGGTCGGAACGGGCATTGCAAGCCAGAGCAGTAAGCACGACAGTCTGTGGCACTTATGCATGACAGGATGTTTGCTCCATAGTCTTCAGCGATTTACAGTCAAGGAGCCACATCGGCCCAAGCAGACATCCAGCGTGCTGCTTCTGGATCAACGCCATGGCTAGTACCGTGCGTTGTCGCGGGGTGTTGACAGGACATCCAATCTTGTGCATCCAACCGTTTCTTCTCACGGCTAATGCCTCTTTGAACCGCAAGGCTTGCTACTCGCCACCTCGGGGCTCTCCTTCCTGATGCCATCGCCAGCGGTAAGCCGGCGAACCCTTTCGTTCGGACTTGGGCCTTTGCTTCTAGCACTACCAGGTGCAGCCACGGCCCGGGATCCTTGGATTGGGTTGGTCCTTGTTTCGGCTTAGACAGGAAATGTTGCATTCCCCAGACACCCAACTTTGTGCACCGGGAGCACGCAGAAAGATTTTGCATCCTTGTTGAAAATCGATGCAAAAAAGCTAATGACATGAAGCTGCTGGTGTGCTTGCGGCGGTTTCTCCTGCTGGGAAAACAGATGTTGGGAACTGTCACATACATGTTATTTTGCCTTCTGCTACCTTTTTCACATCTTGGCGCCTTGTCTTGCAAAGCTCTGTTGAGCATTTCAGGTCTGCCTAGAGGATGCATTTCTTCAAGTAGTCGTTTTCAGTGTTTTTTGCTTGTTGTTGTGGCTTTGTGGCTTGCTGCTGTCCGTGTGTTTGTGCTTTTGTTGTCTTAGTTGTTGCTTCCAGCTGATTGCTTCCTGTTTTTGCTTCCTCCCTGTTGTTTTCTGATTTTGCTTCCTGCTTCTTGACCTCTGTTTTTGCAGAAACTGCAGGTATGAGCTCAGAGGGTGTCGGGTAACAGCTCAGCGTGTCAGAGCAGCAGGGTCTTCGTAACAGTTCAGACTGCCTGATCATACTTTGCTGATCC